GGCGTGGTTGCTGAGGCTGCGGCTCACTTGCTAGGTTTCTTCTCGGTGTAGGTGCGGCTGGCCCTCTGCTGAGGAGGTGCTCGCTGTGCTGCGTGTAGTGCTGCGTGTGGCGCTGACAGAAATGCACGCTTTATAAGTATTTTCATGGCATCACAATTTCATACTGAGTTTTTGAAATGAGGAACACTTTAGCAGTACAAAACTTATGGATTAAGTCGGAAAACCAGGAGGTGCAGAGATAATGAACATAATAAGATAATACATATTATGGAATAGACTGGAAGATAAAAGATAAACACCAAAAGATACTCCCAAGTTGTTTCATTTTATTGAATCTTATAGATGGTATTTGAAATCAGAGTGAGGAAGATATGGATACCAGAGAAAAGGTTTTTAAGGAATGATTGGGTGGAGAAGACTGAGTCTGCTTTCTGCAATGGAGGGATGTGTTATCTGGGACACAAAGAACATGCAACAAACCTTTCTAAAGCTGAGCGAGCACCATAGCAGAAAGCCTGTATGTCACTGTGGGCTCTATGCCAGGAGGGCTGGGGTCTAAGGCAACCCTTGCTTTTCAAAGAGCGTATGTGCAGACTGACAAAATGGGGTTTAGAATTAACATTAGGTGACGCAGTGCTTCTCCCAGTATCTGTGGGGTTGCATTTCTCCGTAGGCGCTGCACTTGACTCATCTGAACTCTTTGTATGTGGACCGAGTTGAGACTGACCTGTTCATCTCTTCTCTGTTAAGTTAGTACACAGGACCAGCTCCACAAAAACTGCTGCTGCGTAGACAGTTTGCTAGAGTAGATGCTAGCTCTGTGATGTGTGCTTTTCTTTTATAAAAGAACAAGCAACATCAAATTTCTTTAGAGGCTGCAGGGTGAGTTTGAGGGAGGTGATAATTGTGGAGAAACTGATTTAGAATAACCTCTTCCTTTAGAGACCGTAGCTCATGATTCCATTGTACATCGTTAGGCTTTGTGAGAACTTGTCATTAAAAATTACAGTTCTGGGAGATAAGGATCCATTGGTTTGGGAAGCGTGATGTTCTGGTTTGTAGAAGTAGAATGTATAACAAAAGTACTGGTTTGGGGAAGTACTATGGTGGTGGTAGTAAGTATAAATTTGCTTTAATTAGAGCCATGTATTGTTGGGAGTGACTCTACATCTTTTAACAATCCTACAGGCAGGCTGCCTACACAGCCTAATTCCTTAAGCTAGTTATGCTGCTGTTGGCAATAACAAGAAAAAGGCAGGGGTTACCTGAACCAGGTACCTAGGAAAATGAAATCACATGTGTCTTCTTTAAACAGTTCTGGATTTGACAGTGTTAAGTGAGGGCAATATATATTTGATTTTTGGGACAAGCTTGCTAGATACAGTTACTCCTCTCTTACTATTCTTGAATTGCTTGCCACCTGGGTTTATTCTTCACCGATTTCTTCAGTTCATACCCATATGCATGCTGCTTGCGCAGGCTTGGAGGGTGTCTCTAGAGGAGAGGAGAGATTCTTAGGATCTGTACCTAGCATAATAATCTAAGATGGTTAAGAGTTCAGGATTTTCCCTTTGAATTTTTGAACCTTCTTGTCTTATATTCATACCCCTTCAGTACACTGTTCAGCTGTCTAATTTTATTTATAATTACTAGCTTTCTGCAATAAGTGTCTACAGTTTCATTTTCACTGTAATATCTAGTTTGTGTTACTCTAATCAAACTTGGTCACCTTGACTGAGGGTGGCTGTATGGCCTCAAGCACCCAGACTTGATTAGTAACTCACAAATAGCATAAGTGTAAGCTGTAGCTGAACCCCAGCTGTAATCAATGTTCAGTCTTTCAGCAGTGTAAAATTGTCCTTCATTGGCTTGATACATCTGCAGAAGTTGCATTCAGGCAGTGCTTCAGTTCATGGCATTGCGCTCCTGTATGCTTGAGGAGGGATGGGCATTTGAACTAAAAATGAGAACTGAATGCCTCCTTGCTTACAGAATCTGGATGTGACTGCTAGGATGTTTCTATACTGTGATCTGTACAATGAATGCAGTGTGTGTACTGTTTGAAAAAGAGAGGCAGTTAAGGCAGGTTGTATCAAATTTCTATGCAGGCAGGCAGAGTTTGGCTTAATGTCTGTTATGTCAATATAAAACTGTTGCACTACTGTGCACATAGTTGAAGTCATCTTACAAGAAATAATGGTGTTAGATTTAGCTCAATGAGGGCCTGAATTTCCTGATGCTGAATATTTATATGTGATTTCTTTAATAATTATCAAACCAAATTCTCATCAGTCAAAGAAATCTTATCTTTGAATTCTTAGGTTTGGTGTAAAGGATAATGGGGGTGAGGTGGGCTTAAGGAGTGTTTAGCCACAAATCACACATTTAAGAGTCACAATGACAAACTTTTCCTGTTTGATACATAATTAAAATGGTGATTCTTTTTTCTCCCCCCCCAAAAAAACACAACAAAAAACCTTTGTGAAAGGTTTTTTCAGAAAACTCAGCAGTGTTAAGTTCCCTTTCTGCTAGGTTTTCTGTCACACTGTGAGAAAACCTTACTTGAGTCCCAAGCAATTTATAGCATTGTCTGAAATTAGACATTAGTTAATATGTAATTACATTCCCTTTGTTAGACTTGGCAATGGTGGGATTTGCTGGTTGAGCAATAGGCCAGTGAATCACTGATACAGCTTCCACTATGCTTGGCAAAAGCCTAGGGTTTTAGAGCAAAGCTGAGAAGACATCATTGGTTGATCTTTAGCAGTTACAATTTAATATTTAACTGCTCTGTGCATAAGTGTGCTTGGCAGCACTAAAAAGTATCTGCATGATTTTAAAAAGGCCAAGATAGAGTTGTGGCTATGGAGCTAGATGACGTTGCAGGAGCAAGGTCCACCAGTGTTCTACTGTGTTGTGCTTGATATCTTTGTCATAAAAATATCATCTGAAAGCAGTGCTTGTTTTAATTTTTTCACCAGTTAAGATTTTTTTAAGTGTAAATAGAGAAATTGGATATACTGCATGAAGGAAACCTTCATGTGAAAAAAATCTTTGTTACTAAGTTTCTGCTGGAAGAGTAAAGAAAAAACTTTGCTAGAGGATTTGCTTTTAATAACACTTCTGAAGAAGAATACAAGCTCTAAGAAACACATAGCTTTTTTTTTTTTTTCCGTTGTGTACCTAATACACATTATAATGTATCCAGCAAGAAGAATGGGTAAGAAACTGAAAACAAAAAGAAGGAGCAAGGTAAGTTTTAAAATGATTGAGTGATTTGCAGTGGTTTAGTTGAAAAGTGCTATGTATTTGGAGAGGAACAGTTGACAAATATAGATAGCTTGTGGGAGGGAGCAAAGAGGAAATTTGTCTGAAGTATGAGGAAGATAGAAAACATTAATAGTGACATTTTAAAGTGAGAATTACAAGGTTTTATGTTTGTCAGAATGTTTATAAAATGGTTTAAAAAAAAATACACAGGCATGAAAGATTACATATTGGGGGTGGGGATAGAAAGAAATGCGTTGTTGAATGATAGCAGTCCTAATTTGGCAGTTAAAATACTTGTATGTATGTAAAATCTTGTTCATAACCCTGTTGAGCAGCACTGATTAGATTCAGGAAGGTCTATGCACCCTCAGTACCATCTTGGATATTTATCATAGAATCATAGAATGGTTTGGGTTGGAAGGGACCTTTAAAGATTGTCTAGTTCCAAACGCCATGGCCTAGACAGGGGCATCTTTCACTAGACCAGGTTGCTCAAAGCCACCTCCAAGTCAGAATGTTTATAAAATGGTTTAAAAAAAAATACACAGGCATGAAAGATTACATATTGGGGGTGGGGATAGAAAGAAATGCGTTGTTGAATGATAGCAGTCCTAATTTGGCAGTTAAAATACTTGTATGTATGTAAAATCTTGTTCATAACCCTGTTGAGCAGCACTGATTAGATTCAGGAAGGTCTATGCACCCTCAGTACCATCTTGGATATTTATCATAGAATCATAGAATGGTTTGGGTTGGAAGGGACCTTTAAAGATTGTCTAGTTCCAAACGCCATGGCCTAGACAGGGGCATCTTTCACTAGACCAGGTTGCTCAAAGCCCCATCCAACCTGGCCTTGAACATTTACAATGATGGAGCTTCCGCAGCATCTCTGGGCAACCTGTTCCAGTCTCGTGCTACCCTAAAAAATTTCTTCCTTACGTCCAATCAAAATCTACCCTCTTTTAGTTTAAAACTGTTGCCCCTTGTCCTATCGCTACAGGCCCTGATAAAAAGTCAATCTGTCTTTCTTAAAAGCCCCCTTTATATCTTGAAAGACCACAATAAGGTCTCCTCACAGCCTTCCCTTCTCCAGGCTGAGCAGCCCCAACTCTCTCAGCCTTTCCTCATAGAAGAGGTCCTCCATCCTGCTGATCATTTTTGTGGCTTCCTGTGGCCCCGCTCCAACAGCTCCATGTCCTTCTTGTGCTGGAGGCTCCAGAGCTGGACACAGGACTGCAGGTGGGGTCTCATCGGAGCAGAGGAGCAGAATCACCTCCCTTGACCTGCTGGCAACGCTGCTTGTGATGCAGCCCAGGGTACGGTTGGTCTTCTGGGCTGAAAGCACACACTGCTGACTCCTGTCCAATTTTTCATCTACCAGTACCCCCAAGTCCTTCTGGGCAGGGCTGCTCTCAATCCGTTCATCTCCCTGTCTGTACTGATATTAGGGATTGCCCTGGCCCATGTCCAGGTCCTTGCACTTGGCCTTGTTGAAAATCATGAGATTCTTTCCATCCATTTGTTTCTGTATGTAAACTATTTGTTGTATTAGATACTACTTTTGGTAAAAAGAAGGCTGTATTGAGTCCAATAGAAGATTTATGGAATAGAACTTTCCTCTGAGGAATGTAGTTGTGTTATAGGAAGTAGCATGTTACTTGTGCATTATCTACTACGGAGAAGAGGGCAATGCACATGCAAAAGCATAGGAGGAAGTCTTGTAAAAGTGTTTTTCAGGTTCTGTGAGGTAGCTCTTGCTTCACCTTCCAATTGTACTTTTTTTCCTCTTTGTTGCCTGCTTATTCTATTTGTATAGGTGTAGAACCAGCACTGGGCTCATATTTCGTCTGAGAAATATGAGAACACAATCCTGTTTCTTTAATCTGCTTTCTAAGCAAATGCCCAGGAAGCATGTCCATACCTGTTCCATTGGAATGGTGTACTTTCCACTCTCTTAGTTCCGTAAGGCAGACTCAATCAGTGTTTAGTTTCTGGCAGATCCCAGACGTAGAACTTGGTGTACTGGCACACAAAACTTTATTTTTTGCAGTTTTAAGAGGCTGGTTGTCTGCTTCTGTTTGGCTTTGTATTTTAACCAATGTGCAAGTGCCTTTTGTTTGGTTAAGGAGTCTTCAACTCATTAATCATGAAATGGAATAAGAGCTAGCAATAACTCCTGTAACTTGGCTTTTTACTGTAAAAGATCATGAGCAGTGAAAACATTTCACAGCTAGGCTGGAACGAATGTAATTCTCAAAACACCATCGCGGTGATGATTGGAAGCATATGAGTAGTTAGTAATTTTTTTTTTTTTTTTTCAAATTTAACTTTCCTTGTGACAGAGTAGGGAGGAGTAAAGAGACAGTTGCCAGTAGAAGTTACTTTCATGTCAAATCTTTTGGTAAATGGGTAGAAGTTAATACAAATATTAACTCTGTAGCCTGTTGGAAAGGCCTCATTTCACCATTTTTTGTTATTCTATGTGCATTTGATTTTGATATGTTGCATCCCTAGGCCATGACCTAAGAAGGCCTTTGCTTTTGTGCCTATGTAGCATGCTAGGCTCTGCCAGTGAGGTGTAAATTGCAGGATGGGAGCGTAAACCAGCACTACACTTGACCTTCCCTCTGGCATGATTTCCTCTCATTTTATCGTTCTAAAGATGTGTCGGTGGTGAGTGGTGAATGGACATTGATTTGTAGACATAGTGACCGTAGGTACTCCGAAACTATTTTAATTGTATCTTACAGTGAGAGGTGAGGTGTATCTAGCAGTGAGAGGTGCTAAGTATCTGCAATTCATTGACTGTAATGTAGCCTGTCGCATCTGTTGCCTGGTAGTAATTGCATGCATGAGTTTTACTGTGGATTGCTCAGTCATTTGACAGACAGCATGTTGTTATTTTAATCTGTGAATTTAACCTGCTTTTTTGTTATGTGACTTATTGGAATTCATTGTTATTGCTTTTTTTTGTTGTCTTAGCTACTTCTTGAGATAGTGTTGGGTGCTTGGATTTTTTTGCATGGTGATTTCTTCAAGTTTTCTCTGATACTCTCCTGAAGTTTCAGAAATTTAAGGAAAATTTAATTTAAATAATAAAAAGTGAGCCAGCTGCAGTGACTGTAATAAATGCTTTCTTAGTTATTCAGGCTGATTTAATCAAATATAATGTAGAATGCTGGATAGTTGGGGATACTGAAAGAACTTTCAGTGTAATTGATGCAGGAGAAATGCACAGTCAAATAAATGAAGTTTGGATCATTTGTGCAAGAGCTATGATCTTTTTTATTTATAAAATAATATGTGAAAGTGTAAGGCACCCCAACCTTACAATTTCAATGAGTCTAAAACATGCTAATCAACTAGATACTTGATGTTAGACAAAGCTGAGTCTTAACAGTTCTGTGCTCACTTTATCTAAATATATTTGTATCAGCATGGTGTGAAATTTTGGGAGTGCCTGATCTTTGGAGTTTCCCCTGCTCTTTTGTTCTTGCAGATGGTGTTAGGCCATGCTTGCTGGAAGGATCTCCATAATATGCAGTACAACTCCAACCATCTTTGGAAAATGTATCAAGACAGTATCTAGTTTGTGAGTTTAACTCAAGAGTATTTAAAATAAAGTAGTCACTTTTCCTTCAAGAGTTCTCTTTTTTAGTGTTTTAAGAGACCTCAAACTAAAGTAATTCTGTCAGGCTTTGAGATCTACAAACTCAAGAATAGGATAAATTCATAAACTAATCCTTAATTGTGCACAAGGTTCTGTTACTGTAGATATTTAGCAGCTGAGAAGCTCAAAAGTTTGTACCATCAGGTCTTAAAAGACAAAATCTTAAGGTTAAGAAAAGTCATGTAATCATCTCATTGGTCATGTAGTAAATCCTGGTTAATATTAGTGAGTTTTGTTAAGAATGGATAGAGGAAAATAAAATATATGTGGTATGTATACTGTTCATTAAGTCAAATTGAGTATGTACCCTTTGGCCTAATGTATTTCCTCTGCAAATGTTAGAATTTACCAGTATTTTAGGAGGATAAGTGTGGGGATGATATAAAAATAAAATGTAAAATATAAAATTTTAGCCTGTGGTGGAGAAATTACTAAGGGAGATGAAGATCTGCAAGTCAAATTTATTCATTTTGCCTGAATTAATGTTGTGAAATGGAAATATGTGGTTTTCCACTTCTAAAAAATCTGCTTCCTTTGAACAGGTATTTTTCAGACTTTGCACAGTATGCTTGGAGCTGAAGGTATTACTTCCTGTATTGATCGTTTTGGTTTTGTTTTCTGAGTCTGTGAACCCTTTCCAGGTTCCTCTTCCTGTGTACTTTTAAGGAGAACAACTCTTTATATGGTATCCATCTGCATTTTATCCACTTGTGTGTACTGAAGTCAAATGTTACATGGCTGTAAATACCATTTTGGCTTACTGCATGTGGATTTCCCATATAGACCTGCCTTTAACCTCTTCCCCTGCCTTCCATTTTGCTGGCTGTAGGGTGTGTCTACATGGTATGCTGAATAAACCACACAGAAGCAGTTTGCCTTTTTTTGTTATCTAGACTAACAAAAGAATCGTGGAATGATTTGAGTTGAAAGGGACATTAAAGATCATCTCGTTGCAGCCGCCCTGCCACGGGCAGGGACACCTTCCACCAGACCAGGTTGCTCAAAGCCCCATCCAACCTGGCCTTGAACACTTCCAGGGAGGGGGCAGCCACAGCTTCTCTGGGCAACCTATTCCAGTGCCTCACCACCCTCATAGTTAAGAATTTCTTTCTTAGATCTAACCTAAATCTAGTCTCTTTCAGTTTAGAGCCGTTACCCCTTGTCCTAATCACTACATGCCCTTGTCAAAAGTCCCTCTCCAGCTTGCTTGTAGTCCCCTTCAGGTACTGGAAGGCGCTATAAGGTCTCCCCAGAGCCTTCTCTTTTTCAGGTTGAACTACCCCAACTATCTCAGCTTTTCCTCGCAGGAAAGGTGCTCCAGCCCTTGGATCATTTTTATGGCCTCCTCTGGCCCCGCTCCAACAGGTCCATGTCTTTCGTGTGCTGGGGGCTCCAGAGCTGCGTAGCTGGATGCAGGACTCCAGGTGGGGTCTCACCAGAGCAGAGTAGAGGGGCAGAATCGCCTCCCTTGATTTGCTGGCCACACTTCTCTTGATGCAGCCCAGGGAGAGAATAGCCCAGAAAAGAATAGTAAGCCTAATCACTGAGTTAACACATGTGGCAGGCCACATTACAGTCAATGAGTTGCAGGCTCTTAGCACCTTTCACTTGTAAGATACAGTTCAAATGTCACTGAGTTAATGTGACCACTCAACTTCCAGTCTTTGAATTAACTACCCTAAATCTGATTTTTGGAACAGATGCATCCCGCCAAGTACTGAGTAGTCTGTCCAAAGCCCACTAAGAAATCTAAGCCCAGTTGTAACTCTGTATAGGAAATGTGTTGGGAGCTTTCATTTCATTATTGGTTTGAGACAATCAAAGTGTGGGCTGCTACTGAACACAACAGTCCATTTAGTAAATCACAGCACAGTCTGTTGCAGTGAGCGTAGCAGGAACTCACAGCTAGAAGAGAGTGATTACACCTCTGGCAGTAATCTGTAAATCTAAACCTGCTGTGAAACTGCAGTTGAAGGCAGTTCAACGGTTTGAAGTTCAGTACTTTTTGCTCCTTTTCTGGATCCAGTTCCCAGTTTCCACTGAGTTCTACAAACTGATACGCAGGTCTTTTAAAAGAAAGAAAGAGGGACCAGGAAAACTGACAAGATACTATGTGTGCTATTTAGAGAGCGGTTATTTTATTGGCATACGTGAGTGTCGTGGAGTTTCAGGACTCTAGTTCCTGCTCTGTGAACCAACTATTTGTAAATGCAGCATAAAACTTCATACACTTGTTCTCTACAAGCCTGTCTTACTGACCAGTGACAGCACAACTTTTAGCAAATATCCTTATATCAGCTATCACACTGGACGCTTAAAGTCCATCTTGTGTGAATTTTGATAAGTCTGAAACTGCTGTAGTGGATTATGGTAAAGAAGTGTTTCCTGCTACTGGCACCTCTTTGAGACACATTGTCAGGGGGAAGTTCTCTGTTTCATCATGATTACTAATGAAGACAAAGACTGTAGTTCATTGTGATATGTGTTCCGTATGGCTTTGCTGATGGGCTTATTAAACTGTTGCGCTCGTTGGAATGTTTTTATGCTGAATGCTTTGATACTTGCTTATAAACAAGGTATTAGTGATTTACTTTTAAAATTACATTTTAAGCTGCTTAGTAAATAGATGGTTGCATTTCAGGAAGAAATTCACATTAACGTTATTTTCATAGAATCATAGAATAAGTTGGGGTGGAAGGGACCTTTAAAGGCCATCTCGTCCAACCCCCCTGCAGTGTGGAAGGACATCTTCAACTAGATCAGGTTGCTCAAAGCCCCATCCAGCTTGAGCTTTAAGGTTTCCAGGGATGGGGCATCTACCGCCTCTCTGGGCAACTTCTTCCAGTGTTTCACCACCCTCACTGTAAAAAATTTCTTCCTTACATCTAGTCTAAATCTACCCTCTTTTAGTCTAAAGCCATTACCCCTTGTCCTATCGCAACAGGCCTTGGTAAAAAGTCTCTCTGTCTTTCTTAAAAGCCCCCTTCAATAAGTCCTCCTCACAGCCTCCCCTGCCCCAGGCTGAGCAGCCCCAACTCTCTCAGCCTTTCCTCACAGGAGAGGTGCTCCAGCCCTCAGATCATTTTTGTGGCCTCCTCTGGCCCTGCTCCAATAGCTCCATGTCTTTCCTGTGCTGGAGGCTCCAGAGAAGAATGTGAGACTCCAGGTGGGATCTCATCGGAGCGGAGGAGCAGAATCACCTCCCTCGACCTGCTGGCTACGCTGCTTTTGGTGCAGCCCAAGATACAGTTGAAAGGTTAAGGAATTGATCTCTGAGAATTCTGAACATTTGTAAAACCCTTTGTCACTTCACATGCTCAGAGAATGCAGAAATTTGTGTCTGCTTTCAGGTAAGATGTGTGTTCCCATTATCTGTATTTTGTTCAGAAGCATTTTGAAAACTGAAAACCAAAAAGTTTAAAAACTTACTTATCTGTAAGTGTGCTTTCATGAGATTTAGTGTTGTTCATCTTAACCAAGTATTGCTCAATACTGAAAAATAGCGTAGATGGAAAAGTCTGAAGAAATTGTGCAAGTTGGCTTACATAAATGTGCATTTTGCAATGTCAGTTTTCTCCAGTAGCATAGGCAGACCTTTTCATGAAGTTCAGTTCTGTATTTTCTCTTGGTGCATTTTTTTTCTTTCCCTTTTTCTCCCTCTATTTCTCCTCTCCCTGTTTTGCTGGTGTTTCTCCAGAGAGTATGATCTCTGACCTTGCATGTTCCCTCATCATCCCTTCATGGGAACTGTTCTTCTGTTTTTCCTCCTTGTTCTCAGCTATAGCAAATCCATTCTTCAAAGATGTCCCTCTGACTAGTGGATCTTCTCCTTTTTGTTGTTGAGCGCATGTAATTGCACAGTTAACATCCTCATGTTAAGGGTTATTCCACGAGAACCTGTGGAAGAAGTTAGCAAATCTTCAGTGTAGTCTACAGCTTTCTTCTTCTTCATGCTTTACATTTCTGTCTGATGTCCAGTGCAGTTGCATCTTTGGTATTGGTTTCTTCAGTGAGTTACATGAGATCATAGTTTGTACAAAAGTATCTTCTATTAAGGTTCCTGAAAGGAATCCTTGTGTATTTCTTCCTTGGTTTCTGCATTCTGGCTTTTTTTTCCTTTGCCTATATGCTTTTGCAAATGTTTTTACAGCCATATGATTCTTGAGGTAAAAAATTTTATTGTGTAGGATACAAGTATGTACTTCATATCTCTGCAGCAGTTGGCAATTCATATTTGTTTGCAGGTTACTGCAATGTCTCTCAAGGATCCATGCCCTAGTAAGTGTTAATTTGGCTTTGTATACTTGACTGGGGAAAATCTATTAATGCTTAGAGACAAAATAAAGACAAGTTGGAAATGTTTGAATAGCACATCTCTCTAGATCTCTGAAAAAATAGCAGTGAAAATTGTTATGAAATGCATCTTGAACTAGAGAAATGCAGTCAGCAAGAAACAGCTTCAGTTTCAGCTGGAAATGTTTAGAGGTACCAGCACATCCTTCAGTATCCTTCAGCAGTGTGTACAAAACTAGATAGTTAAGGAGTCAAAACTTGGGTACCTGTAGGTGTAAAACATGCATGGGGCAGCTCTGGCATATGCCACCAATAAGTACTGCTTATGTGACAACTGTATTTATTGTCTTGACTTGTTACTGTATTTCCTTTACTTGAAAACATGTTTGTTAACTTTTAATTACTGATTTTATTTTACTTTGGCATTAGAAAACACTGCTCTGTTTTTGAATACATGGGCAGTGAAGGCAGTAGTAGTTAATTTTAATTCATTTCGGTGCATATAGAAATTCTTACTTAATATGAAGAATATAAGAAAATTATATACTATTCTGAATAGAAGTGATGCATTTTTTTAGTTTCCTTGTAATATATTATTCATGTGAAATGAGAATTGTTTTCTCTATTAGTCTCCTGCGCTAAGCTGACACTTTAATTGGTTACTAAGGGCGAAGAAAACCACGTCAGCTTGGTGAAAGTTCATGGTAAAGATGAGGATGATACAGCCTTACTAATGTAAGGTTTGTGGTAGTCAGTGGAGTATGAGAAAGTGAGTGTAGTCACCTATGATTATCTATGTATAATTCATTTTTTCTAAGCAGGATAATCAGCAGGACAAGTTTAGTGCTGTCTCCCTGCAGCTCCTCCATGCTATATCTTCCTGTCCAACCCCGCTTTTCTTTTGGCGTCAGGCATACCTGTCATTTTCATTTAAAGCAGCCCAACCCTCACCCTGTCTTGCGCTGGCACTGTGTCATCTGCCAAGGCAGAGACTGCAACCTGAAAAACTTTGGAGAGGTGGAGGAATGAGAAGATTTGTTTATTCTAGGAATAGCTCATTGCAGCAGGGGTACCAGGCATTCCGCAGTACCAGAGTGTGGGGCTTTTTCACGTTGAAAATACGTTTTGAGCCTTCACCTACATAAAGTGTGTGATTGATTGAACTCGGGAGATTGATTTTTTTAAACCAGTTATTAGAAAGTTAGTTATCAGGTAATAGTCCTTATTTTACTTTATTATTATTATTACAGTTAAGAAATACTTCATTTCTCTATTAGTTATCACCTCTAATATTCTGATATGCTTCTCCATTTGTAATCATGTATTCAAAAAACATTTGTGAAGTGTTAATCTCCTTTTTAAATATCAGATTAGGTATGTTGTTTTCCTTTGGCTGAGCTCCATGTGTAACTTTTTTTAATATACTGATTTTCAGGGGAAACATCTATCTGCAGTATTACCTTTTAAGCCTGAGTTTGGGATTTTTTTTCCTGTTTCAGGAAGAAAAAAATCAAGAAATGTCTACCAATTTAAAATACCTTTCCTTGGGCATCCTGGTTTTTCAGACCACAAGTTTAGTCTTGACCATGCGTTATTCCCGGACACTGAAAGAAGAAGGACCTCGTTACTTATCCTCTACTGCAGTAGTTATTGCTGAACTTCTGAAGATTTTGGCCTGTGTTCTGTTGGTCTACAAAGACAGCAGTATGTGTCAAATTTTGCACCAAGTAATTTTCCTAATCAATATGCTGTGTTGTAGTGGCAACTGCAAAGCAGCCAAGTGAGTGCAGGCATACAACAAAGCATTTCCCTCCTCATGTAAGAAATAAGTGTTGGAAAGACACTAATACTTCAGTCCTCATCACACAATAGAAGATATTGTCTGTTTGCTGAAGAGAGTTCTTTTAAAGAATGTGGATACTGAGTAAATTTTCTGCTAACAGCTTGAAGCTTTGTGTTTGCTCAGGCATGTTGAGAAATTCATATGTAGAAGCAGGAGAAAATAAAAAGATTTAAGTGTGTGCAAAGCATTAATGATAATTGAACAGCCTATAATAAACAGCAGATGCAGAAGGGAGGAAGCATTTTCATTACTACAGGAAGAAACACAGTTTTAAGCTCAGCAAAAGTGTGTTGAAATTTACTCTAGTTCTTATTTTGTACATTTTATACTGAATTTATCTGATTCCTTGGCATATATATTTGATCTTCAATAGCTTAAAAATATCATTGTATATGCATAATTATTGATGATGCTTCTAAATGTGCACTTTTTAGGTGATACTCTTTAGTGTATCATCTTCAAATATTGATTTGATTTCGATAAGCTTTGCTTAAAGTATTTTGAGTAATTGTTCTAGTTCTGATATTCCAGGCTACAGGAAGACACTTGGCAGCCTTTTTTCTTACATATGTGAGGCTCGTGGAAGTCAAACATAGGTAGTATTTTGAGATCTTGACAGCAGTGGTAGCTATAAAGAGAGGGCAGCAATCTTTAAGAACAGAACATTGTTATCTCTTTTTTTTTCCTCTCTGTCTCTCTCTCTCCTTTTAGTGAATGTCTATTTTTTTATTGTTTCTTTGGGTAGAGTGCAATTTACGGACTCTGAACAGAGTGCTACATGATGAAATCCTTAATAAACCCATGGAAACTCTTAAACTTGCTATTCCTTCAGGAATTTATACTCTTCAGAATAACTTGCTGTATGTAGCATTGTCAAACCTAGATGCAGCCACATACCAGGTATTGTACATTTGGATTTCTCTGTAAGTGTAAAAAAAAAAAAAAAAAAAAAAAGAATTATGCAGTATTAACAGTTTATGGGTTCTTCTAGGTTACATATCAACTGAAAATCCTTACCACAGCATTGTTTTCTGTGTCCATGTTGAGCAAGAAATTGGGTGTATACCAGTGGCTTTCATTAGTAATATTGATGACAGGAGTGGCATTTGTGCAGGTAAATATTAACAGGTCATTTATGTTCTTTATTCTGTTTATTCAAGGAACATGGATTTCTATACTGATTACACAACTTTCTGATTCTACCAGCTGCACACAAGCACCAGCGTACAGTCAGTAGCTATGAATCACAGCTGGGCAGGGCTAGAGGACACCAGAAATGGTTCAAGGGCAGAAGATAACACCTCTTTTGTGTCCCAGTGTTCTACTGTGGAATGTGATAGGGCCTCTGGAGCAACCTGCAAATAACAGTAATAGCAGTATTTATTAGCACGGTTCTTTAGACATGAGGGATTCACAGACCTTCTGTGCCAGTGCAGTCCTGCTGCTCACCTTGTCATAAGGTTTCAGCATGGAAAATTTACTTGAACTTTTTAAAGAGGCAAACTTGGCCTCTGTTCTAAATAGTGCAGGTAGGGGAGTTTGTAGTTTTCAGAGGGCAGGATCATGGGATATGAGACTATTCTAAGATTTTTTTTTTTTTTAACAGATTTTAGCATATCCTAGAAAGTTTTGTTGTAAAACTTAAGGATTTAAAAAATATTCTGAGGATTAAATATTATAGAATTTTCAAATTTAATAATGAATTAATAATGAAAAATGGCAACAGAACATGAACAGACTCTTCAGTCTGTTTTTGCCGATGGCATTACATTTTAATCTGTTAGCAATAGATACATGGCAGGATTTAGCTTCATAAATTTCAGCTTGTTGTAATTGTCTGCATAACCAATGAAGAGGGGCACATGTGAAAGACAATTCATCCCATCTTGAAGACAGCTGGTGTAAGCGGGTTTCTAACTGTGCTTATATTTGTGAGGTAATTAACTGTCAGGTGGCAAAAGTTGGTGACTGTCAATGACCATGATTAGTCATGCTGGGATTCAGAAACAGTTCCAGCTTATAAAACATAAATCCTGGAACTGTTTAAATTGGTGCGTATTCTCCTAGTTCAGGCACAGTTTTACTCTCCTTTATAAGTGTTTGTGGTGCAAAATACAAAACTTTACAAGCATGTGATTGTCTGCATTTAGTAGCTGTTACTGTTGCTAGAAAACAAATTTGCATTTTATAGATGCTCATGACTTGATTTTATCAGTGAATTTTGTATAACTGTTTTTACGTCCAGTGGCCTTCAGACTCTCAAGCAACAGCTGCTAAGGAACATTCAGCAGTTTTTTTTTCATGCTTTTTTTGTGGATTTGCTGGGGTTTATTTTGAGAAAATTTTAAAGGAAACTAAGCAGTCTGTGTGGATCAGAAACATTCAGCTTGGTAAGTTTAATTTTAGTTATCTTTTAGAGATGCTGCATTCTGAAGAATTAAAATAAATGTGCAAAATATATATGTAAATAAAAACATTACCAACATTTTAGTATTCTGCATAAATTTACTTTTAAAACCAAGAGTATAAACTCTGCTAGGTAGATTCTAGCAGTTGCCTTCTGATCTCAACTTAGTTCTTGATTTAACTTGCTTATAGAGCATCTGTAAGTTTGTACAGAATCTGTCAATTGAATTTGTATTTTAAATTTTCGAAAGAATGTTATCTTATGCAAGATTCTATGTATCCTGTGTTTAAAAATGAGTATCTTTTGCACTAATTCATAAGATCTGCTAAATACAAATAATACTCCTTTTTCCTAATTTTTTACCTTTTTTTAGAGAATATGGGAACATTAAAACAAAATATGTTTCTAAATCAATGTTTTGAGATGTTTTAAAATTAACTTCTTTTTTTCATGTCCGGGCAGGCAGTTTTTAGAAATGCCAACATAGAATACAAAAAAACCCTGCATTGTTTGTGAACAATGTTTGGGTAATGAATTATTATTATTTCAGTACAAAGGTCAGTTTGTTTTAATTGTCTGTATACTCACTGGAGAGAGGCATATGCAAAAGACAGGTCATCTTAACTGTTTTAATGCCCTTACCTATTGTGCACCTATCAGTAAGAGAATACCTTCTATTTCCAAAGTAGTTCTGGGTCTTCTATGCCCTAGAAATTAATGGTGAATGAGTTTTCCCTCACCTCAAAGTAGTCTTGTCCAGTTTATAACGTTGGAAATGTGACATCAGCAATGTCTTTTTGTTCCTGTTTTGCACCAGAAACAAAACTTATTGTTGGAGTTGCCCTTCTTTCTGTAATGGAATCCCTCTAGTCTTCACCTATAGGCAATAATTATTTAATGCATATTTGAATAAATGCTTACAGAAGAATTTGAATTGTCTGTCACTTTAGAACAGACTCTTAATCAAATCCACAGTACTGTAGAATTAAGTCATGAGGATGATTTAGTGGATCCAGGGCTGTGTATTGAATCTGGTTAGAATGTAATGAACTACCATAAAAACAGGAGATAGTGTGGTTTTTGTAATTAGATAGTTGTTCAAAAACTGTTACGGTCAAAAATGCTGGAATACCAGCAATTTTTTTCCTTTCTTTTGCTGTTGCTGTGTTTTAATTATAAATGGTTTTGGTTAAAAATGCAGAACTGCATTTTCATTATATTTTAATATTTTTACATGTTAATAATGTTTTGAAACTTGAGGATTGAGAAGGGGATCAAAAGCTCTACTTACTATCTGCCAGTATTCATTGAAGTTGTGTATATTAAAACTCAGTTTTCTTGAACAGGGTGTAGCGGATACCTCAGGAAAGGTTATGTTAAGGAATTTTGGAGGCAGAGGAGGGTGGGTAGCTGGGGCTTGGTCCAGCGTTTGAGGTAAGATTCGGTGCTCTGGCTGGAGCTACAATGTAACGGAGCTTCCCTTGCCATGGAAAGCTGACTATTATTACTCTCAGTTTCCATGCTGAAAGTGCCTTGGTGGGCAGCAAGGCGGATACCTGAAACAACTTCCAATGAAACATCCATAATTGCTGGAAAATCAATGATCTCATCTAAAACATTCTTCAGATTTTTCTACAGTGCACAAAAGTATGTATGAAAGCAAGTGAGTTCCCGATAGTCGGCCTGATCATGTCTTGAATGTTCCAGTAATTGCTTTTTGCAAGCAATGAGATCAGAACAGACTGTGTCTAAACACAAACTGTTTAAGATAATGAATAACTAGGACGGTGATATATGAAGACATAAATGTCTGTGATAATAGTGAGAATCGAATCACATGGTGTTTTTATTTATTTTTTGGCAGCTTAATTTGCCTCAATATGTTTACTATTAAGGTTGTTTTCAGTTCAAAAGGGAAAGGAATATTGTCAGATTTCATAGAGAGTCTCCTGATACAGCTGTTAGAAAATATTTAAAACATGAAATCACAATTTCAAAAATATGTTAGTGTATCCTTTCTACAAGTGCAAGATAGTTGCATGCTTAAGACATTGTATCATTCGGGAGCAAGTCAGTCATAAGCAAGAGCTTTGAAATAGGGCTTTTCTTAAAAGACAAACAGCAAAAACCATATATCCAACTGTTTTCGCTTTCATATCTGTAGAGAATTATTAGAACTGTAGAAAAAAATGGAAAATATATTTGAAAATCACTTTTTCGCTTTTAAATCAATCTTGTACTTTCAGGATTTTTTGGTAGCATATTTGGACTGATGGGTGTATACATTTATGATGGAGAACAGCTGTCAAAGAATGGATTTTTTCAAGGATACAATAAACTTACTTGGATAGTTGTTGTTCTACAGGTGAGATACTTTGGATCACATGTTTCTGTGGAGGCACTTGGGATTTACTCTTCTATAAATGATTGGAAAAACTAATGGGTGTCATTGAAGCTACTGAGAATTCTATAGTCAAAAGTCTGATGTATCACTATTAGAATAATCCTTTAAATAAAAACCTGGACATTATATAACAAGTATATGACCAAGTGCTGTGCAACAGAAAAGCATGTAAGGATTATTTCTTTTGCAATGTTTTAAAAAAAGAAATGCCCTTCCTCCTGCGCCTAAAAATGTATAGTACAAGCATTTCCAATAATCCAGTGATGGTAATATGATCAAAAATTCTTTAATGGGGAAAGAACTCCTCCAATATTTATCTTCAACAGTGCATGTCCATAACATTAAATAAATGAAGTGCTCCTAAACACAGACAAAAGCTTTTCCTCAAGTAAGCACATGTTGTTAGAATAGATGCTCTCAGTGGAATTACCAGGTTTCGATTCCAAACCTCAATATTTTTTCAGGCTCTTGGAGGGCTGGTGATTGCTGCGGTTATAAAATACGCAGACAACATTTTAAAGGGATTTGCAACTTCTCTCTCTATTATACTGTCAACATTGATCTCCTATTTCTGGCTGCAAGATTTTGTCCCTACAAGGTAAGAATTATTTTCCATGTGTGTTGGGGAAAAAAAAAAAGTTGAAAACTTAATGCTTACCAGGTATAACTGCAAAAAGAGATTAAAAAAACAGTCCAAGCCACACTTTCAGAATGTTTAGATACAACTTGCACATAAAAGTTTAGTTTCATAACATACCATATATACTACTTAATATTTTCAGTATAGTTGGCAAGATTAAATCTTCTGTAAGATACAGCCCCCCACAGGTCAGGAGCTATTGAATCTCAAATCTTGGCTTTTGACAAACCACTGTCTTGCAGGCTCTATGTTTCAGGTCACTGTCCCTTTCTCTTTTCCTCCCTACCCCGTCTCCCTCAGTTTGTTCAGCTCCTGCTTTTCTTGTATGCTGAAGCCAGTCCTCTTCAGCTTCGCCGCCTGCCTTGTGCGGCATTTGGCTCTGCTCTTGGAACCAGTCTCCCCCCGCTGGCTGTTTCCAGAATGGGCCTGACAAAGGGGTTGCCTTATGCTTGTTTTCTCTTTGTCCTCTAACTGGACAGATCTTCTACAAGTCATCTCGCTGCAAGAGTTGTTATGGCTGAACAGTAATAATGATGATAATCTTTTTACACTGGTTTTCATCCAGTCTCAAAACAGTCTGACACAAAGTTACACTACAGCAATTAGTTGCCCGAGGACATCCAGAAGCCCAAAGGTAGAGCTTTTTTCTAAAGATAATACCATATTTATTAGTGAAAACACTCAGCCGAGAGAGAGAAGAATGCTTGCTATATGCTTCTAGACCCAATACAATGTGTCCTGGTCTTTTGTGAATCAGATTTTAGTAGCTGTGTGCACTGCAGGTTTTGTACATGGGTAGGTTCCAGAATAGTGCCTGTCTTGGCAGTGCATGTTAGTATATGGAGTGTAGACATAATATTCCAACTTTCAGATATATTTATAGGATTTTGCTTATAACTGACCTACACTTTTCACATATGTTACACAAACTCATAGTGTAAAAATATTTTTAGTAGTATTTACAACTTCTGATACAAAGATACATCTTTTTATCTAAAAATAGTATTTGCAATATTAGCAGGAGTTTACTTAAACATTAAAAAAGTAAGTAAAACATCTGTTTAGGCTTAAAAAGTGGGAGATATTGAACTTAAATTATAAGTAGTATATACTTGTCCCATTAAGACAAATGTGGAAAGTGATTTAAGAATTTCTGTGTGCTGGAATGGAAAATTAGTGAATAACTTACCAGTTTCTGCAAACATGGTTAAAATAGAAACAGTGGTAAATAATTAAATGAGGTGAAGCCAACTAGCAGCATGTAGAACTTGAAGCCATGTCATTTAATAAAACTTGATTAACTTGAATTAATCGAACTTAATCTTTAGTACCTTTCTTATGCCAACTGAATTTATTTGAACTGAAACTGCGTAATTGTTTCTGTAACTTCAACAGACATTTTTGGTTGAGATAATAGATATAAAGTAAGTTTATATATAAAGTGATTGAATGTGTTGCGATGGATCGTGTCCAGAAATAGGTTAACTGTATTTTCTGAAGGATTATCATGTCACGTGCCACAGGTTTTTTTAGCGTTTTGTTCAGAAGAACAAATTGTCAACATTGTCATGTCTTTATGACACGATTCTTTTCTAAAATGTGTACTGATTGTCTTTTGGCTTTGGATATTTTGTTTCCAACTTGTGCCTGTCAAAACAACTTGAAAGGCGCAGACGTCACAATACAAAAGATGCCTTTACTATCTTTTCCTTATATAAATCTTTGTGTCTGCCAAAACTTAGATTATACTGACTTGCAAACTGGTCCTTGGGCAGCAGTAATTTGTTTTCATATAAGCTTTGGTTTTTAAAGTAAACGCAACTTCAATAACGTGATATGTGTAAAATGTTAAAAGTGGCTGGATAACCATGGTAGTTAAGCTGCTTTAGCTTCTGCTTACATTTTTCACAGAGCTTTAGGTAAAAGGAAGAAAAAAATATGGTCTGATTACTTTTGATAATTTTTCCATGAAACTATAATTAATTTTAATTTTCAGAATGTGTCAGTATAATGGTATAATTTGTGGTTGTAAGTTTCTCATTTCAACTTCTTCCTGCATCCTTCTATAATAAATATATGCCAATTATTTTGTTCTTTATAAATTGGACAAATATAATTTATCTTTCTGTGTTCCCACAGGAAAAATGTCCTTCCTTTTGATTGTATTACATAAATAAAATTGCATCAACTAAAATGAGCTAATTTTTTTTTTTTTTTTTCATCTCTATTCTATTCAGTGTCTTTTTCTTCGGAGCCGTCCTTGTAATAGCAGCTACTTTCCTATACGGTTATGATCCCAAACCTGCAGGAAATCCCGTTAAGGCATAGCAGACTTCCTCATCAACGTGTTTCTCAAGATCATGCACTGGGGGCCTTGCTGACCATGGCATGTGGAAAGTGTCATTGTGCACTGCAAGGAAAGGATTACTACCCTGAATCTATGGAATAAATTCTTATGAATAGTTCTGAACAGCCAGAGGGGTTAAAGGTGGATGATGATACTGTCTGTAACTGATCAAAACAAACAAACAAAAGAAACCAAACAAACAGAAAAACCAAAACACAACAGTGGCAGGGGAATGCCCGGTGCAACTTGCTAATAAAAACTTGAAAGGAACAAAAAGTTTCCAAGAAACTGCAGTTAGGAATGTTTACAGCTTTGACTAGGATTGCATCAGAATAATTTACTGTATTGACTGCTGCAGAAATATGTCCTATGCACTCTTCGAAAGAGCACATGACAACATTGTCAGATTGTATGTTCTTGCAATTTGACTATATTTAATCTTAGTAAATATGTTTTTAACTATTTGTCTATTTACATGAAATCAACTGAATACACATCATGGTTCTAAAGGGATGGTTCTTATTAAAACTGTGAAGATCGAAGCATGGTTGAAAGACACTTTCACAATATCAAATATTTTTATATTTTTAAAAGGATGAGAAATCTGTTATTAAATTATAATATTATAATTCTGTTGCTTATATGAAACTATTGAAAGTGTGTTAATATTCTCACCTAAGTTCACAAAGGGAGAAATTCACAGTGAAAGCTGGAAATCTTTGTTGATACTCCAGCCTTCATCAGGATAGCCTGTAGTGTTCCAACAGATGCAATAACTCTGTGAACGCAGGCCGGAGGTTCGTGCACTAACCTGGTACTAAGACTAGGGTTATGAGGGAGTGTTTGCTCAGATGTAAGGTTCATTCTTTTTATTAATGATAAATCAACTTGTTGGTAGAACCTTTGAAGTAGATTTTATGCTTTAAATATCCTCTGGGGATTTTTTAAACCAGAAGTTTTTTTTAAAAAACAGCCCATAAAAAACATTTTTAATGCATTATTGTTGTCTGTAACAGCTGTATCTGGAGCTATTATGGTATATGATGTGTATACTGTACTGTACTTTATTACAGAGGTGGTTTTTAAACATGTTGTTTACTCATGAACTCTCCAAGGCTTTTTCAGTACATTTCTATGTAATGGCTTAATTAGAGATTATTTTTAATTATAATTATTATTTTATTCTGGGAATCCTTGAGTCAACAGACCAAAATGGGTTCTCTGGAGCTATTCAGTTTTGCAGTGGAATTACTTTAATAGGAAGCATAATGAAAAAGTAATTAATTGTGCAATAGGTAAATATGAAAGCATACTGTTCTTGTGTTTTAAACCCAAAAAACTTCACAAAGAAACCTAGATGCAATTAGAACTCGGATCAATTAGACTACTACGAACGCTTCACTTGTTGAAGTATTTGCACGTAGCCAGAAACACACACACGAAAAAAAATGCCAGACCTAATAAACAAAAAAAGCTGTCTTAAAAATCACTTGTTTTCAGGAGACCTGTTCACAATGGATATTAATGTAGAGTGACTTCTTATCCATGTTACACTTGTATACATTTATACAAAAACATATCAGTAGTCCCTTACCTGTAGAATGGCAAGTGATAAAAATGTATTATTTCCTTTTTCCTCCCTCATGCTCTTTCTCACTTCTGTCTTGCTCTAATGAACACGTTATGAAGAGAGAGGCTTTTTGAAATGTTTGCCAAAGTACCTCATCCTCTTTTCCACATTTTAGTGGTGGATTGACAAGGAGATTCTGTAAGAGTGCTCTGAGATTTTTCTTAATGGAGTAGTGTAAATGGGAAAGGAAAAATTTCACTTACGTCAGCCAAGTAAAAATAGTGTTTTCTTTCTGTTGTCAATGACATGGATTATCAATATTTTGTTTGTTTATTGTATCAAAGCAAGACATTAAAGAAATTTCAGAGTTACGCCAAGGGCTTGCTAAGCTTTGTGAACTGTGAATCTATCCCAGCATGCTGTAATTGCAGGAGCTTTACTACTTGGTAGCCAAAGCTATTGTATTACCCTAAATTGGCATGCTATGTTGATACTAAACCTTTTTGCTATAACATTCAGAGTGGCAAAATCTTTGAAAAATTATGTTTAGTAATTTGCCACTGAAATACAACGTGAGGTAAGATGTATGCATAGAGCAGTGGCTCGCAGCATTGCTTAGTGTAGAATGGGACAGACTCTGAGATGATCTGAGAAGTGTTGGTAGTAATACCTGAACTGGAGTTTGGCCTTACACGATAATAATTTCAATTTCATGAATTACAGTAGTGGAAGTGTTCAGGTGATATAATTGGTTACTTCCTTGAGGAATTTCTGCAAAAAACAAGCAGCAGGTTGAGAACACTTTAAAGCCAGTTGCCAGTAGGCCAAATAACCACCACATTGCCAAACTTCTGTTACGTATAACCCAGTTTTAATACTTCAGGTGCACCTGTCAATATTTGTCAGTAAGCATCAGTTTAAAGGAAAGAACAGGAATATGTGCTTTTTGCTTTTGAATAGGATGTCATGCAGCTTTGGAAAACAATATATGTACTGCACTAAGGAACAGTAACTCCTGTCTGTAGATCAATGACTGTTCCATGCTTTCAATTGACAGTTCCATTAAATTTTCCAGTAGAGGGATAGATCTCTTTGCGAACTTGTTGCTGTAAAGGAGATAGGAATTTGCATTTTGAGCCATCAAAGGCTAAGGAAAGACCCTCATCTGAGGCCTTCCTCGTTGAAAAGCATTATTGTAGACAGAGGGAAGACTGCATATGTTTCTCGAGAACGGAAAGGATTTGAGGAGGGTTTCTGTAACCTTTGCAATCTGAGAACATGTGCACATTTTCTCATTGAGATACATTTGTATCTGGATTTTAAAACGTAAAAGAAAAACAAACATAAAAAACCCAAACCCCAGTTTTAAGTCTATAACTCATTAACTAACCAAAGAAGCATAGCTAGCACAGAGCAGGATAGTGTGCTCTGAGTTTGCCCTAAAAGCAATCTGTAGGAGTCTTAATTTTCCAAAAATAAACCTGTCTTTCTGAACTATTTTTCTGACAATGGATTTGTTTAATTGTATAGTTAGGAGGCTAACCTATACTTAGCAGAATTTTATTTAAATATTTATAAAGTTAAAGTCAGGTATTTATTTGCAGTCACTTGAATTATGTGGGGTTTGGGGTTTTTTTTTTAAGACTTGCAGAATGAGAGTACTAGTATTTATTGAATACTTGGATAGTTGGTAGTTGTATTTGAGAATCTCTGGCATACATGATAAATGGTCAAATAACCGTAAATGTAGAACTATCTTAAAGCAAAATAAGTCGGCAGTTCAGTGGTGAAAAATCTTGAGTCTAATAAAGCAAAATAAACTTTTCTTCAAACATTGTGTTTCTGTGCTATCCGCAAGTGCCCAATAATCTTTTTTCTCAAAGAATTCAGATAGTTTTATAGTTCTGTTCAACTTCTTTGTTTTAGACAAACTGTAAGAAAACTTCCCTTTTTGTTTGCTTTAATAGTGGGTAGATTAATGTTCTAGATCCAGTTCCTACAAGATAACGCCTTGGCATTTTTACTGAAACTATTGTTTTATTTTTTCTCAAAAAAGAAAATCTTATTTTGGTAGCAAGTACTTGCGTTTCAGTTACTCATACAGTCCTCTCACAGATTTTTAGAAGCATATCAATGTTTTGTGTTCCTTATTTTTATGGCTGTAATTCAAAAGACTGTAATGGATTTTGTTAAATTGTTTTAAAATTGATAAATGAAACATTGCGTTTCTTCTAGTTTTCATTGTCAGTAACTTTCATGTTTTAATATATTTCCTTATCAGCTGTGCATGTTCTGTTGCATATAAGCAATCATCATTTTTCCAAATTTGAAGTTGTTGCTCATTTTCCTCCGGTTTCTTCCTTCCTGTTTCTTCCTCTTTCTTCCTTCCTGTTTCTTGCTGGGTATTGTGAATGAGGAAGGTTGTTCATTGTTTTCTTCTCCGAAATCCATATTTTGTAAGAATGAGATATTAAAAAACATTAAGGGTTTTTTGTGTATTAGAAAGGTAATGTTTATCTATAACATGGTATTATACCATATATGTGGTAGTGTATCATTACCTGTGTTGCTCAGTTACTGTAAGGAAGTCCAAAAAGTGTTTCCTTGCCTTTGTTTTCATGGTTCTGCTCATTTTTAATGTGATTATTTTCCACGGGAAATTACTAAAGACTTCTACTCTTTCCAAGTAAGCTCATTAAATGTTTTTAGATATCTACAATTAGGATATTTTTACTGGAAAAAATGCAGCAGAAAATGCAACAAAGTAAGTGGGATTAATTAGATGATATCTTCTGCTCCAGTTACTCTGAATGCAAATCTCTGTTCAGTTGAATTTAGAACTTTTTCTAATTATTTCCCACTAGGTGAATTTATAACTCTTTTCTAGAAGCAATAAAATCTGTCCTGAGGTGCTGTTCAGTGCCTCATTCTTGAATGTCTGTGGCACATTTGTATCCAAGAGCAGACATGACATTTTTGACTTCAACTTTCCATCATCATTCTGACTGTAATTAGCCATATTAATTTTGTTAGCAAAGTATAGCTGAGTAAAAATTGCTTTTATGCTAGGCATGTGTGTATATTTGCTGCCATGAGTAATACTTCTTTAGATTTTTTAAGAATTTTTCTTTATTGTCAATATACTTTAATTTTAAATATATGAGCCCAAATAGAAATCATATATTCTAACATTTTAACAAAATTTTTAAGGTAGTCTTGGGATTATGTGTTGATGTTGATATTTGTGTGTGATTACACTGAATACAATTCTAATATATGGTGTTTCCAGGCAGTTTGGAAACAGGTTGTTTTTTGTTGAACCATGGAATGCATCTTACATGACGTAATAGTCTTCTTTTAATCCATATTGAGGTATGGGGGTTTTTTCTCCTGTATGTGTAGATAATATCA